ATCGAACCATTTCACCGAAAATAAAATAATTTAAATTTTCAATGATTTTTTCTGAAGGCCTGAAGCACTCGAAAAATCTGAAAAAATTCAAGATTGTTTGGATTGTTGAAAAGTACCTTCATGAATTTTTTCAGATTTTTTAATAGCTTCAGGCCTTCAGAAAAAATATAGATAGAAAATGGACGTCTATAGGGGAGGAGGGGGGTAGGAGGGGGGAGGGGGTCCAAAATTTTGGTTTTGGCACTTTTTTATCATGTACTATAACATACCAAAATTTCAGGAAAATCCGTGAACCTCGCCCGCAGGTTTATTTGAAAAATTCTGAATCTGACCCATATATATTTCTATTTATTGTATTAAGCTGAAAAAGTGAAAAAAAATTTTTTTTCAGAAAACAGGCATAAGAGCTTTTTTCAATACCCCATTTGAAAGTACTTTGTCCAGTTAAATACTTACAAACACTTAAATTAACTTGTATCAGCCTATGAGCTCTCAGCGAAGAGCACTGAGGATATCTAAGCTGTTTGTCGTAAGATTCTAAGTGATAACTTGATACGACTAAGTTCTAGGTCATTTCATTTTCTTCGATAAAATATTTTATTAAATTGTATGTGGAAGTAGTCAAAGTTGATCTTATGCTTAGCTTGAGGTTGCGTTGATGGATAATGATCCATCGAAGAAAATGAAATGACCTAGAACTTAGTCGTGTCAAGTTATTACTTAGAATCTTACGACAAACAGCTTAGATATCCTCAGTGCTCTTCGCTGAGAGCTCATAGACTGATACAAGTTAATTTAAGTGTTTGTAAATATTTAACTGGACAAAGTACTTTCAAATGGGGTATTGAAAAAGGCTCTTATGCCTGTTTTCTGAAAAAAAATTTTATTTCACTTTTTCAGCTTAATACAATAAATAGAAATATATATTTATTTAAGCCCCCTTTGAGCCCTTAATGGATATTAGCTGATCCAGTGGCACGTATTCATTTTTGATTATATCAAACTTGTTATCTTCAAACCATGATAATAGTTAGTACAGCATGAGATTACTGCTTTTAGTTTCGTGAAAAACAACATTATGCATTAGACTCCTAGTTGCATCCACAACAATAAGAGGATTTAAATCTGCTACTCTATCCTCTAGCTCATCTCGGAGAATCGCTAGAAGGTTGTCTCGCATATTCATCGTTTTCTTTTACATAAGGTAATAAATATATTTTCTTGCAATTTATTTTCACAAATAGTTTGTGCAAAATATCGTCGATATTAACAAGGTTACTTCATATGAACACATGTAAAACTTATTTGCGTTTATTTACTGGCGGACTTGCCCTAGCAACCACGCTTTGAGTTATCAAAGATTTTTTGTAAAAAGTAATTCGGAAAATAATTTTTATTTCCAAAACGGCTCATTGAAATGAGTTGACAAGGGAGACTTTTGTTCTAGAGGTCAAAATCTATATGGAAAAAAATTGTCATAAAATTTGACTGGAAACCGAAATCCCCGCATTTTTGCCGGGGTCCTTTGCTGAGAGACTAATTATTTATTGCAAGAGAGATAAGATCGGTAAAACAATATGTTCCATCTGAAAAAAGCAACGTCGGAAGCATTTGATAATTTAATTTTAACTCGAAAACGTTTAATAAATTTTGTTAAAATTAATGAAAGATAATAATTGTTTTCGAATTTCTTAAGCGACAAATAAAATGTTGCGTGGGGCTGGCACTTTTTTTAATCCACCACTGGTTATAATATGTCGAAGCGTAGTCTTTTGAGAAGAATTTGACACGAACACAACAACAAATTACGACTATACAGTGTGAAAGAGAAGACACGGCTATGAGATTGAATCAAAATGACATAAATGGAAGTTAGGTAAACGTGAGCTTTATAATTAATCAAAATGTTTGTTTTGTGCTATATAATGAGTTTTTTAAGTCTGCCGGACTTGAAAATTCTACACAAGTTGTATATCAATCATTGAAATAATATATAGTTCAATAAGTGCCAAATTGATGGGTAAGAACATATTTATTATTGACCAAAATATACCCTATTTTTACATAAAAGTTGCATCATATAATATGTTATTCCCAGCGAAAATTTTTTTTAAAATCAAGTGCATAATAATGTTGTGAACTGCAATAAAAAGTAAAAAAGTGTAAAAAAATGTAAGATTACTAACGATTTCGGACATATGATATGTATTTCTACACTTTTTTTACATTTTATTACAGTTTATTACATTTGTTTAACTATAATTAGAGAGATGAAAACCCTATGAATTCAAGCTCATTAAAGTTACATGGAAAAAGCAAAAAAGTGTAAGAAAACATAAAATTCTGTAATAATAATTTTAAATGTTACAATTTTTACTTATGAGTTTAAAATTCCAGTCAAGCCCGTAAGCTTTGTGAAGCTGGCGGTGGAATTGAAAGCACACTACTTTATTATATACCACTGGATATAAAAAAAAATCTCATTAAGAATACAAAAATTAAAAATATGCTCGACTTTTTATTTGTTAATGTTGTTTGAAAAACGGTCGAACGCTACTTGGAACTTTAACATTAAATATCTCAGTTTTCATTGCTGTTAGCGATTTAAAAAAAATTCTTATAAAAACCTCACTAAATGCTCGACCATGAGATACATGTGAGCATATTGTAAAACAAATACATCGGTTAAAATAAATAACAGGTGATATATCATGTAATCGCTACGGTGGTTCGACACTTTGAATCGCTTATGCTGCGCGCGCATGTTGTAATGTGTCCGGGCGCGAAATTCAAAACGTTCAAAATTTGAATCTGAAAAGTTATTAGAAAAAATTGCATTAAAATTTTTTAAAATATTAAAGAATGTTAGAAAATGCAAACCAAAGTAGCCACCTATAAAACCCAGCTCGGTAATGTTTTTTCGATAAATCTGCAAACCAGAGCAGTAACCTCCGCGACCCAGCTCGCTATTATTTAAACAATTAAACTGCAAACCAAAGCATAAAGAGTTTTATACTCACCGTCCTCGTGACTAGCCTGATGAGGTCGAGAAAACTCTCGACGAAACGTCGCTCAAAAAAACACGAGAATAAATTTGACTGACTTGGTTTGTGCCAGGTTGACAACATCACCTTGTCTTTATTCTATCATTTTGCCTAAACGGATCGACAGGAGAATTCCTGTAAATACTAATATATAAGGATAATGGCAACTATCGAAATACCGATAGATATTACAAATAAGTTTTTACACTCCAAATTGTACTTTTGAGTTCATATTTATCGCATGTAAAATAGGTTCTGAGTAAAAAATGAGTGAATTTTTATACCACTGCCCGGTATAAATTCGCCATTTTAGAAATATAGGGGCAAGATAAAAATCGCGGCGGCGCATTTTTTTAAGGTTCCGAGAAAAAGTGCACGATTTCTGATGTTATGGGAACCCTCCGAAGGCAAGGCAAGGTAGAAAATCGACTTTGAAAAAAAATTTTGAGTCAAAAAATCACGTTTTTTGTTTTTAATGGCAAAATAAATGATGATAATGTTTATTTATCGCAAAAATAACACCGGATACTGAAAGAGCATACCGAAAAAACCCTGGATATGGATTTTCAGTAAAATATTTTAACTTTATCTATAATTTTTTTACAACGGAAAATTCATGCACAAAATTGCACGTTTGCGAGTTAATGGGTTAAGCGATCCCAGGTGTAAACTTTTAGAAAAATCGTGTTATACAAAAATTGTATCGACTCGACCATTGAAACTGTCGCAATCTGTAAGCCTAGATCTCTATGCACTTGTATCATTTAAATTACCACCGGACGAACGCACACGCATACACAACACACACAAATACCTACAGACACTCTCTGGAAATTCAATGTAGTTTATGAATTTGAGATTCTAGTTGTTCTACATTGCAATGTTCAAAAACTCGTAATAAAGCTTTCTTTCGAAAAAAATCAAATTTTTGACAGCATTAGAATTGACGTGTGGTATCATTTCAATGCCATTTATGCGAATGATCTACCCGATAGTTTTTATTCCTAGAATTCGAGGAGAGAGTGAGGGCAGCGGTCGTGATCACATCGAATTCTCAAACGTCAAAAAAAACTATTTCAATAATTCTTTAACAATATAAAAATAAGCATAAAAAAAGACCCATTGTAATGTGATCATTGACATATTTCTTGAATTTTTCTTTAAAACCTCCAAGAACAATAAGCAGTGTTCATTACCATGAAGCGTCCAATGAAAACGAAATTGAACCCGTTTCTAGCCGAATTTTCGGCAGGTGAATTGTGAAATTTCTTATAATAACAATGTCTAATCAATCATACCCTTATATAGTCGTGGTCGCAGATCCCAGCTCTGTTGGGAGGTGTCAGCTTGAAGCTGTGGAACGTCACGTTCACGACCTCGGTCTCGTTGACCGCGATGAGCCACCAGCAGGTATGATTGTTCTGACCGTCGCTCTGGTCCATCTCGTCCATGGGAACTCTCAGATGACCGACAGGGTTGGTCAAGGCCGAATAGGTCGAGGTACCGCAGACCTTCTCTCGTTCGCACTTTTTCCCGGTAAAATTGTCGGGACACTCGCAGGTGTAGGTCTTGTTCTGACTGCCGGGGTGGCAGGTACCGCCGTTGTTGCAGGGATTCGACTCGCACGGGTCGCTCGGCTTATTCGCCTCGCAGACGTAGCCGCTGCCGCCGTCCTTACGAGCCCGGCATACCTCGCCGGTCTTGCAGGTACTGTTGCGGCACGGATCTTCGGAGATGGGCTGACAGCCGTCGGGCCCTCTGCCGTCGCCCCGATAGCCGGCCGGACAGAGACAAATGGCTCGAGAGTTGGGCCCCTCGCGGCAGCTCGCTCGGCTGTGGCATCCGCCGTTGTCGATCGCACAGGTACCGACGTAGGTGCACGCCACACCGTCGCCGTCGTAGCCGGTCGGGCAGTTGCCACATTGTCGAGATCCCTAGAAATTCACAGAAAGATAAAAAAAATTCGCTGCTCAGTGCTATGCATCGTTAAACGTTCGTGACTTTTGAGTACCAAAGTATTGATGCACTGGACCATGGGCTCGACGCTGCAGCCGCCGTTGTTCCGGAGACACTCGTCGATGTCCTGGCACCTGAAGCCATCGCCGGTGTAGCCCTCGGGACAGGTGCCGCAATAAAACGAGCCCGGCACGTTGTGGCAGGTCACCAGTGGGTTCACCGAGCAGGGATACCTCGCCGACGTGCACTCGTCGACGTCTTTGCGGCAGGACGGATTGCTTGGACTCAGCGGCTCCCATCCCTGTCGTAAAAAAAAGAAATGCGAGAAAATCAAGTCATCTGAATCTCCCAGTGGACGGTACATATAATTTGCGCTCTCTTATACCTGTTTACATATGCAGGTATAACCGACGGGCGAACTGGTTTTCAGGCACACGCCGTTGCCACAGAGCTCGTCGTTGTTCTGTTCGTCGCAGATCGACGACTTGGACGTGCAGTGAAAGCCGTGCCAGCCCGCGGCGCACTGGCACCTGTAGCTGCCCTGCAGATTGACGCAGCTTGCGCCGTTCTGGCAGCCCTGAGCCGTGCCCTGCAGCCTCTCGCACTCGTTCACGTCGTCGGTGCATTGCTTGCCCTGGTGATAGGCGATAAATGAGTGATTTCAATTTTATGTTTTTGAAATATAAAAAATTGTTATTAATATTACCTCCCATTGGGGTGGACAGTGGCACTGGTACGAGTCGTAGCCGTCGATGCAGGTGCCGCCGTTCTGGCAGGGATCGCTGCGGCACTCGTTCTGGCGCAGTTTTTTTAGGATGACGCGCACCTTGTTCTCCAGCCGTCGAAACTACGTATTGGAAAGACAAGTTTATCAGTTAATGACTTACAATTGACATTTACATAAAATACACTTACGCGAGTGTTTATTCTTGCCTTCAGAGAAGTCGAGATGCCCGAATCGTCCGTACTCTGTGTGCGTGTGCATGTATTAAGATTTTGTTAAGTTATAAAAAAAGTCCAACAAACTATATATTATACCTTGTCAAACGTGCGTGACGAATTCGACGATCTAACAAAATTAATTTCTTTCATCAATCCATTGGGACCCTCCACGAGATCGGACAGTCGTTGCAAGCTCGTTTGAATGTCGCTCAGCACGCCGTTCTTCAATCTTTCCACGAGATACGAGGCATTACTCGCCTGCGTATATTATTACACGATGGAGCGTTTAAAATATTGAAAATTATCATTCGTGCATACGCAGTTGTTGTACTTACCGCCCAAACGACTCGTAAAAGATTGAACTCGTTGACGTTTATGTTGCCAAGGCCGCTGGTGCTCAGGGTAACATTTTTATCCTTGGCACCTACGATGAACAAGTTGCCATGCTCCGTTTTCAGTATTGGCCTATAACTCCAACATATCGCATTAGTGATCCAAAATTTATCTAACTCGATCGATATAAATAATATAACAATTGCTCGTTTTACCTTTCCGATAGCCATCCGTGTGAAATATTACAAAAAATGAGAAGGTACACGAGAGAATATTTCGAACGAAACATCTTCCGTCAAAAGTTACGCATTTTTTCAAATGTATGCGCGAGGACTGATCGCGAAAATCGAACCGAAGCTCCATGATGACGCGACGTGGTAGGCGTCGATGGCTTATCGAGACACGCCCAGTATCATATTATATACGATTTTCAGTTTGTCGAATTTTAATTCGATACGCGAGTCTACAAAGCTCAATAAAACTGTTCAATGATTCAAAACAGTATGCTCATTTATTCTGTGTTATTAATATTGTTATTCACATGTACTATTTGATTTGCACTACATTATCTCAGTAAGTTAAATCTAGGCCAGGATACTGTGTGCCATATGCGCCACAAAAAGGCAATAGCGAGCCTAATTGCGCAGCAATGTGACAGAATTTTTTCGATGCTCGATTAAGGAGAAACAAATTATATTTTTGTCAATAATAAAAGTATCTAAGCAAAGATGAAAACTCCAACTATCATTTGGCATATTAGGGGTTGGTAAAGTTAGCACCCAAAAAAAAAATATTAGTTTTCAGTTATGGAACCAGTATGACTCGTTTGCGCCTCAAAAATTATTAACAATGGCAAATTTTTACGTTTGCGCGTCTGAAAATTTCGGAATAAATAGACTTTTCCGATTGGGTGCTGAAATTCCAGCACCCAAAAAGAAATGCTTCGAAATTCAATAATAAAAAAATTAATAAAATATTTCTTACGGCAAAAATGATTGTTCGTCTAAAGCGCAAACAAACTATGCAAACCGCGTATTGTAAAAAAATATTTATACAGAAAATTATCGATTCGATTTAATTATCAATTATTCGGCTGCCTTTGCATCTGCAATTGCCCACGGTTGTGCAGTGCACAATACGCATAACGCCGGGAGAAGCAGACAGCAGACAGCAGACATCAAACTTGGAAATCGACCGATACTCCATTTTCATGTTCATCCTTTTAAATTTTAGAACAATTAGAAGCCAACTCAACGGCAGCTGGCAATTTTTTAAAAAAACAACGTGCTAATTGTAAGAAGTAATTATTAAGCAACAATTACAACAAGTAAGTACAAGAATCTGTATTGAATATAACAGATATTGCTTGACATATATGTAATATTATATACAATGAAAGCAACTCTCTAATTCTTTATATCTAAAATTGATTGAAATAATGTTGTACTTGTTCTAGGTTATGTATCCATCTTATCAAGACTTATCAAGATAATTAGAAACTTGGTAAAGTTCAATGACCAGGTATCCAACATTTTTCAATTGAAACATATATTATTTCTCTTCAAATGACTCTAACAGACTTTGCTCATAGGTGTTACTTAGCCAAAGTTGATTAGGTCGATAAAGTATTGTTAAATACTCATCAAATTTTTTGGAAAATTGACCCAGAAACATTAGAATATAACAATAATCATTTATTCATGATAAGAAAAAAAATTTTTCATAAAAAAAAAAATTTTTTCAGAAATTTTTAAGTGATTAACGCAGGATCATCGAATGTTCAATCCAGCATAGAATTCTTATTAAATAAGGAACAGAGATCTGGTTTGGCTCATTTTGTTCGTCTTTTCAAGCCCTTTTTAAACATGTATACAGATATAAAAAAAAACAATAGTCCATTGTCAAAAATGAAAATGTATGGAAAAAAGGTAAAAGTTCAAATAATCCAGTACGCGCGGAAAAAAATTCTGGGAAATTTCCAATTTAGGAGGAACAAGTTCAGGTCACAAATTTTTCTAAAGTATGTGAATAAAGGAAGGTAACATGATATTTGGTTAATAGTCAATTTTTTAAAAAGCTATCGAAAATTTATTTTACTCGCAGTACGTTTTACGACTCAAAAGTAAAATCGATTTTCAAACGTGCGATACAAAGAAGACGTGCCACCAAAACGCTCAAAAATAAAAGTGTAGATCTCTCAAGTCTTCTTAAAGACCCTGATTAAAGCGTTGTATACATGTACAAAACAATAAACAAATCGTTTATTTATCAATTATTACAAAAGATTACATATATCATTTAAGTACATATTGTATTTTATGTGATGGGTTAATCGTAATATAACGAACTGTTAATAATTCATTATGTTTACATGGGTTTAAATAACATAATATTAAATCAATAAGTCAATTTTGAAATTCATAGACATAAAACATTTAACAAATGAAGAAAGGTATCGTAGTAACATAATATTATACTATATATGTATAATCGTTATACATTTATGTCCATAATTTGCTTACATGAGTAACCCACGTAGAAAAAAGATTGACAATAAATAAAGACATATAACATTTGAGTTGTACACTTGGCTATGATAGCGCTGTACTATTGCAAAGTTGTATAATGCTTACAAATCAAGACCTGTAAATATTTAATACATCATTGTGTATCACATTTGAAAAACAAAAATAACAATGAAAAAAAAAAAAAAAAAAAAAAAAACNAACTTGGATTAAAAAAAAAAAAAAAAAAAAAAGTAAACATTAATATAACAGTACTATATCATCAACGCAAAGAACGTTAACGAGTCGTACTGTGTTAAGTTCACGTAACCACGTAACATATAACATCGTCGTTCCTAAACCACATTATTCAATGAAGTTAAATATAACATAATAATAATAATGATGTCAGTGACAAATTCAAAATTAAACTAGCAACGTACGACGCAATGGCAGTACAACAAAGTTTATACATCACATACGCGTCTTGGAGATATAAAGTTAGGAATCAATCGTCTGGAAATAAACTGGCCAATGCGCCCCTTAATCTGCAAACACAAAAACATAAGAACAAAAATATTAGAAAATTTCAATGGAAACCAAAATTATGATTTACGAAATATAAAACGTGGAAACTACATACGTTGTTGTCCTAGGATTTTCGTCATTGCACAAAATCACCGTTGACGAGTACGCCATTAAGTTGACAAAGCCCATGAACTCGTTTATACCAACTCCTTTCAA